GAAATCTGTACATATTAATTACTAATTTACATAATTAACCACTTTTAAGCTATCACACTGATAAAGTACTAATTATTCCATTTCAATGAAACTTAGTGCAAAGATGCTCTAGGACAATGTACAAACCTGATTAGTTTTGGAGTTAAAATCTGTTTATATTAATTCCCTAATTAGCATAATAATTTATAATTTTTTTGGGTTCCAATTACATTTCAATAAAACTTGGTACATAGATGGTCTGTTACATTTCGCAGACCTCATTAGTTTTCCATTAAAATCTGATTTGCATTATCAGTTTTCGGCTTTTCCATCACTATCACTATCTATGACAAGTAATTTTGAATTATATTTAATGTGTCTCCAATACTCTCAGCACATGGGAGTTCTTTCTAAGCTTTCTTTAATTTTTCTTTTGACATGTGAATATATTTATTAACTTGGTGTAGTTTAGTTAGTTTAGTGGTGTAGTTTAGTTAGTTTAGTGGTGTAGTTTAGCGTTCTGACGTACGACAGGGATGATAGATCTGGTCTAATACTGTCTGCATTTTTCACAACAATGATGATTATAGGGTGATTATGTCTTACTCGTTAATAACAATGCCTAAAACGTTGACCCAAAATAGATGCAATAGAAAAGTTTGTCATAGCTCTCTATCAGGAAAAAACCCAAAATGAAGAGAAAAGTGCAGAAGGGTCCTCGATGATTTAAATACTACCTCTGTAGAAAACGCCAGTAAAGCTGCACATACATGTACATGTACCAGGTATGGGACAGATGTACGTGTTCAAGCAAGTCACTAGCCGTGGACCGGATGTTACTTCCAACACGACATAATCAGTAATGAGACAAAATAAAGAAGGGTGCCCTCCTGTGCAATTTCCCCTCTGTGTTGGTGTAAAGGGGCTTAATGTGGTGGAGTTGTTGGGTAGTTTTTGTATTTATCTCAATATATTTTAGACAGTTGCTTACATGGATTGACCTTCGTGCATTTGTTCATGCGTCCTCACATGCCGCACATATATCATACATTTTGGGAGACCAATGCGTTTTGGGTGGTTATTCCTGCCTAAGCATTCATGCACACTAATAGCCTGTGCTAAAGGTCCTAAAAGAGGGCCAGATTTTATCTGTACATAGCGTTTCTTCACACACAATTTCTTAGCACCGGCAAAAGTATTTGATCTCATTAGCCCATGCATGAACGCTAATGTACTATTGAATTGCATTTGTTTTCATTTTCTGATTCAAAATGGCTGACTCATTTCAGTTTTGTTTAATATTGAACATTGGTGACTTGTGTCATGAAATGTCATGATGCTGGGTTTGAACAAATTGATATAAGTATAATATACAGGGATTTTTTTAAACAAGGGAACAGGGGCGCAGCGCCCTCATGCCGTGGTCATGCACCCTCTTACCCTGGGGAGCAGATCCTCTGGCAACCATAAAATTCTGATTGACCAGGTATCACATGTGGCCACAGTCTTCAACTGTGACCTGTCTGATAGTAATTTTGGCCCCAAAGAAGCCATAGAATGCTCCATTTTAACTTAGGATTATCAAAAACTCTGCACCCTATCAACTACCAATTGGTGGCGCAGCTGAATTGCAGTGCTCCCTCTTGCATTTTTTTTTCTAGAAAAACCCCTGATACTAGTACTCTATATGTTATTACATGTATGAAATATTACATGGCCTAGAATCGTCAACTATTATTGGTTGATTGAAAAGT